CCTACAATACTGAAAGACCTACTGCCTCTATCTTAAAATAATTTTGCACCAAGTGCCACAACTTTAATACTCTTACCATATATTAAAAGTTTCTGCGGTTAGCATAACATAATGTTTATTCTTCTCAAATTATCATTCTCGCAAAACTTGCAGGTATTCCTCTCAATTAAATCCGTCCGACAAAAATAATCCATAAATCATAAATTATCATGTATTTATTAATTTCTTTTTCGCAAAGGAATCTCTTCAACGATTCCATTTTTCTTCCATCACTTTTTCTTTATTCTCCTCAAATTACCAATCTATTCCTTACCAGACATACAGAAAATTGCCTTCATAATCTCTCGTTTCGACCAATACTCGCTTCTCTAATTTATCGACCCCTAAACGATTTTACATTAATACTCAACGAATATCAGCATCGATTGTTTTTAATATTCTGGTAGAAAACAAAAAAAAAAAAAGACCATCACCGCCAATTTGTCGTGAAAAGGAGGAAATAGAGAGAGGGAGGGGGTAGAAAATGACATACTAGTCGAAGAAACTCGCAGTACAACAGTAGGAAGAGGAAGTCCTTTTCGCGATAAGCTTCTTAAAGGCATACCTTCTCGCCCTTATTACAGGGGCGTACTTCACGGATGAACGGTCGGGGTACCGGCGGAGCTTGCTCGATAAGAGGATCGCCTAGGTCGCCATTGCAAAGAGTTTCGTTTTCCCGAACGCACGACAAGAGGCTTTCGCCTTTCGTTTCGCCTTTAAATTCCGCCTAGCTTAGCCAATGGGGCGGAAAACTCTTCGAAACTGCGTGTCTTCGAAACCGATAGCATCGAGAGAGAAAGAGAAAAAAAAGAAAGAGAGAGAGAGAGACTCGATTCTTCTTTTCTTCTCCCTTCTTTCTATCGAAAGAAGTGCTAGCGGACTGGAACAGACGAATGATTCTCGCCTTACCGAACTTTCGAGTTCGCCCCCTTCCTTTAAACTTCTCGTTTTCGCTCGAAATCCGAGGTGACGGGTATTAGAAACGACACTGGAGGAGCCCGCGTTTTGTTCGAATATGTTTGTTTCTCGAGGCATTAACAATGGCGCCGCGTGCAACCGCCACGCTCGACTTCCGGCCGCGACTCTTGGAGAACCTCTCCCCGTGCATTATTCCGCGAAGTTGCCGCGGGTAATATCGCGCGGATTTTTCCGCCCGTGAGGAAAAGTTTCGCGGATTTTTATTCAACCGCCGGCGTGAAATACGATTTTTCTCGCTTTTTAACCCGGAAAGTGTCCCCTCGCGGAATTAATTCCGTTGGAACTGTTTGGGAACGGTGAACGAGTTTCGAGAAGATAGTTTCCCGATTGAAAAGTACATTACGTTGTTCGTGGTTTTTAAAGATTTCAAATTAGAAGATATTTAGATAGATGGATAGATTTTAATTTTAATTGGGGAGAAGGAAAGAAAGAGAGAGCAGTCGATAAGCAGTATTGGGGGCAGGTGGATGGATGCAGGTAAAATTTTAACGATATAGAATTGCTATTCTATATTATTCAGAGGAAGAGATATGACAATTTGAATCTCTCGTTGATTTTTCCCTTTGAAAATATATGATAAAATATGACGGTTATAATAAATTACAGATATGGATAATCAAGGTTAATTGAGATAGATAGTCGGCGCGGGATGGACGCAACTGCGTGGAATTGTCTCGTTTCAAAGCTTTCATCCTGTTCCCGATCTAGCGATTTAGCTAGACTTAATGCAATATTTAATGGATTACTAATCTCTTTGAAATACCGCGTCATATTTGGATCGTGAATTATTCAAATAGGGAGCATCACTCATATAATGTACATTTGCTCGAACGAAGCGCTAAAATTATTCCAAACGATACGAGATTTGGATTTGAATTCGCGCGTGTTGAAATTCTCGGAGTGACGATCGTCTTCTTTTCACCCACGGCCATTACACGGGCGAAGTGATGACGCAGGTGAAATCATATCGTATCTTGTAAATCTGATGATACGGAAAACGATTCTTTACGAAAGATCAAATATCGCGAATATGACGTGGATATTCTTAACGAATTTAAAAATTATTGCAATACATCATGATAATTAAGATATTTCTTAGAATTATATTTTTACTTCTTCTTAATCAATTTATTAAAATTAAATGATAATATTTACGATTATGATTAATAATATCTATTGTAATATTATAAGATATTTTCTTTAGAGGAAATATTTTAAAGATAATTTTGTAATCGAGATTTTTTCTTTTTCTCTTTTTATTATTTTTTAATACATTCGTGAGCGATAAAAATTAAATATAATTTAAAATTAGCGATCGGTATGAATAAAACTTGCTTTATAATTTACAAGAAATATTATTAGAATAAATTCTTAGAAAATAAAGTATTCTTAATATATTGAAGTAGCTTAATTAACTTTTTACACTGCCGTGAGATCATCACTGTCATAACAATTCTATTTCTAGACTTCATGAGTCATTTCTAACGTGATATTTCATTTGCTTAGCAGAAATCAGAGATGAAATTCAACTTTTTAAGCAAAAGATTAACCAAATAGACTTACTTTCAAGACGAAAAATTTCAAAGAAATAAATTTGATCAATTATTTCCTAAATCTTTATTTAAAAAATATTTCATTTCACATATGTATCCTCTTTTTACATATATATATATCTTTTTCGTTCAAACGATAGAAATTTCGTTGCAGGAATTGTATCACACGTTCGAACGATTATTGCAATTTAAACGTCGATCCTTCGCTTACCCCCCTTTTGTTTGCGTCCAACACCTCGATCGTGTCATTATTTTCTTTCCGTAGATCGTGTGATCAATCAGCGTTAGTTATTGGCGGCCTCCCTCCACACCACCTACGTAGATTATTCCTCGACGTATAGCTGAACCTATACGTTATTCCAGGGGGTGGCCCACCCCTGTACGTACGTACGTACGTACACGAAGCTACGCCTAGCCTCGAAATTTACGGATTCCTGGCATGAGATGGTGAAATTATATTTATCCTCATCCCCATACATTCCGAGTTTCG